AAATTAATACAACACAAAATTGGAATTGAAATAGCTTCTCATTTGTAGAAAAACAAAACCCTGATGCAATCAAAAATCAAAATGGCATCATGCATTGAATTAATAATGATTCCCTGAAGGTTTCTTTTCAAACTTCATTCACTGGTTAAGGAGTTTCCAATTAGATAAATATGTGGATGGACCTACAGACATCATGAATTAAATTGTTCCTATGAAACCTACCTTTATGACCTTCTTTCCTAGATTTTTGGCCCCATGCCAAATATCAAAGGAATGTTTGATATTTGGAAATTCTCTCCCTGAAAGAAGATTAAATATAATCAAACAGTTAATATCCACAAAGTACACTGAACATAGTCTTCTCAGCATATGTCTATAAAATGAACTAGTGTGACAAATATGTTAACACAGTGATTGAATGGTACATGTATATGACTACATTCCTTGTATGAATAAGCAGAGGTCTAAATAAAGATTACCTTTTGGACTTAAAAGACTAATAGAAATACATACATGACTTTACAGAGTTTCAATATTAACTAGATATCATGGAGATGGAAGCCATCCCTGTGGCCCCGCTGTAAATAACCTACCCAAGGACGTAGGATTCTCAACTGTAACCTTAGTTTTTGACCTTGACCTTTGACCAAGTTGTACTTGTTGGTTCATATACATGTCAAGTATAAACTTTGAAATTATAATGGTTCTCAAGATATAGAGCAAACACAATCTTAACCATAGAAAGAGTGGGTTCTCAACTGAAACCTGATATTTATTAATGTACTGTTTTTTTAACTTAATGCTGCTGTTGTAGTGTTACTGTGTATACACTTAGTGCAATATATTGACAAAAGGAACATTGTTATTACTCCTGGTGAAAAATCTTTTACCAATTCATTTCTTTATTTTATTATAACTAATGCACATATAAGAAATTGTTATATGACTTACTCATTAATGCTTCAACTTGGACATGGGCATCAGTAACTATTTCGGCTATCTTCATTCCTCTTCCTAATAGAAACTGTAAACCTTTCAGGAAACAGGCCTTCTCCAGATTTGTACTTTTTCTATCAGTCATCCGTTTGTCCATGGTCACTATGCATAAAATCTTTTTGGTATCCATCTCCATAAATGTGTAGGTGCAGTACTGGGCACAATGGCCAGGACTGTCCATCCTTCCATCACCTAAAATAATTTGTAAATCAAAAATAAGTAATAAAAGTGATCTATTTACAAATAAAAGAAGAATGTGTCTGAAAGACACAGATGCCCCGCTGGCCTCACTCAAAAGCTGTACATGGAACAAGGAACTTGACCTTTATATTATGGTTATAAACATTGTGATAAATTTGAAAACAGTTGGTCAATTCAAACTTAAGTTATCCTTCACATACATATAGCCTCTAAAATTTTAGGCATGGCCAGAAACAGATACCTCTACTTTTTTTTAATTCAATTTGAATTGATAAATATTGAATCTCAAAAG